AAGTGAGGCAGAAGTCATGAGCACCGCCACTATGGGTCGACGAGTCACTGCGTAAACTTTTGTTGGTTCGTTACTCGTCAAAATTTCACTCCCATCGTGGAATGCTGTGTCGGAGGCCGCGGGTTGCGGTTCAAGGCACCCCGCCACCCTGGCCTGGCCCCAAGTCCGAGAAGCACGTCATCGATCCTGCCTGATCGAGCTGTTGGATCTGAGAACACGTTCGTATTTGCCGCGCTGCTGGGCCGCCGGCAGCGGCCGCAGCCTCGCGGCCGCGCCATGACGAGCCGCACCGTGAACTGTCTTTGTTTTTGTTGTTTTAGACAGTGGTCGGTCGGCTGTCTGTGCTGTGTTCCTGCTGTGTTCAAAGATATTTGACAGCAGAAAATCAGACAGTTAGTGAACGAGATTTTATGTCTCGACTTTCATCTTGGGTCATTTGTCATGTGTGCATGTGCTCGTAGTGATGCATGGGCAGAAATTGTGAAGTCTCCAAACTTTCGGGCGTCGTCTGCTATCTCGACGCGGTAACTCAAAGCTAAAAGCGGAGCGGCAGGGGACAGGACGCGGCTTTTTAGGGGAGGTTAGCAGACGTGTAAATACCTGTTTTATTTCTGAAATGGCGTCCCTAAGGCATGCAGGTGGTCAGTCCAGAATTGAGCAACTGTGGAGACAAGTTTTGGACACATTTAGATGGACTGCCGGTGGAGCAGTCCACTACGAGGACGAGAGCTTTGCTGTGATGAAACGTCAGGTTGATGCCCTCACAGCAGAAGACATCTCTTTAGAAGAATCTTTGTCAGAAATGCGGCAACATCAAGGTTTTAGGAATGAAGAGGCTGTGGGAAATATACACATATGTGACAGTGACATTGCCACAATGCAGGTTTTTGTGCTACACAAAGATCAGCAAATGCCAATTCATGATCATCCACAAATGATTGGCATTTTGAAAGTCATCAAAGGATGTGTTCGCATTAACAGCTACTCTTTTAAGGGCTACGAGCGGAAAATAGCTGGAGCTTCTATTCTCCAGACCAGTAAACAAACAATGGATGTATGTAAAGGTGATCCAGCATGCGTGCTCACTCCAAGTGAGCGCAATTTTCATTCTATCATCGCTTTGAACGGTGAAGCTGCCTTCCTTGACATCTTGTCACCACCATACTTCACAAGAAGACCAGGACATGAACTTAATGTTTGCAATTATTATCAAGAAGGTGGTTTGGTTGGAGGAACTGATGAAGAAAACTTAGTGAGACTGGAGGAAATTCGTCCTCCTGAAGATTATTGGACTGTGAAAGGGGAATACAAGGGACCCAGAATTCAACAGCATTTTGGAATATCTAACCCGCTTAGGCCTTCATTTTCTCAAAAATAGATA